CAGGAGTCGAACCAGTAAGAAAAGACCAACATCCCATAAAATGAGGGGCCTGGAGAGGACTGGAACCATTTACAGAGTCATTTTTAGAGTTTGGATTGCTGCCAATCGGAATCTAACCCTCCAGTCCTGACAGTGAAAAAGCCTCAATCATCAGGATCTAGAGCAGTGTAGGAGTGATGGGAAGGTAATGCCTGGACACCTGATGTTCATCTGGAGTTGAGTCAAAGAAAGAAAGTTTGCACCAGATTATACAAAAGAAGAGGACAGAGAAGACAATAAAGGGGAAATACTTGCAAGCAGTGACTGGTCTCTGAGAAGATGACAGATGCACCAGGAGATGCATGTGGGGGTAGGTGCTTTTGGCAGACCAGAAAAACAAATATCTGTTAGTGTCAGTAAATACCTTTTCTGCTGGACTGGAGCTTTCCCCTGTTCCACTAATAAGATAGGGAAGGGATTAAGGCTTGTTAAAAGAAATAATATCCAGAAGGAATTTTCAGGTAATGTACCCCACTTTAGAGTGGAAATAGTACAGGAAGAGTTTTTGCAGATTAATTGGGAATTATCCCACGGTGATCCCAGTCCAGACAGAAGCTGGAAAGAATCAATTAGACAATAAACAAGCAAATATCAAAGTCATGCCAAGAAGGTCAGTTGGAATGGACGGCTGGCAGGTTTCCTTCAAACTGTAACCGCTGTTGTCATTGTTATGGTTTGTATGACCCGGAGTTGTGTCAGAAGGGGGGGAGAGGTTGAGCCTTGCAGATGAAGAGGCGGGGATATGCAAATCATCCTCCATCGCGGAGGACGCCGGGACACGTCCCGCGCACAGACCCCGCGGCCACGCGCGTCCGCGGGCGCTGCAAAGGGCAGAGCCGTGCGGACCGGTGGGGAACGCGAGGCCGGACGGGTTCGGGGCCGGGTGGGCGGTGAGCGTGTGTTGGGGGTGGGTGCGCGGTGCGGGGCCGGTGTGGGTTGGCGAAAGCAACTCATACTTACCTGGCAGGGGAGACACCATGATCAGGCAGGTGGTTTTCCCAGGGCGAGGCTCATCCCTTGCACTCCGGGTGTGCTGACCCCTGCGATTTCCCCAAATGCGGGAAACTCGACTGCATAATTTGTGGTAGTGGGGGACTGCGTTCGCGCTCTCCCCTGTTTATACTGGTCAAAAAACAGAATCATCTAGTAGAGGGGCGAATAAGATGCCAAAGTCTCCGTGGATCATGTATGTACGTTCTACCCAGTTACTCTTGCTCAGAGAAGTAAAGGATTACGAGAAGTTGAGAGCTGGAATTGCTGGGTTTCGTGGTTGTACGCGGGGCAGGCGAGGGTTCCGCGAGGGTCCCGCGGGGTTCCGGGGCTGCCCTCAAGTTCGCGGATGACATCAGTCTGGAGGACGGTGCTGAAATTGGACAGGCTGGAGAGATGGGCTGAATCCAACTGTATGGGGTTCAACAAAGCCAAGTGCCAGGTCCTGCGCTTCGGCCATAACAACCCCCTGTGGCACCACAAGCTGGGGACAGAGTGGCTGGAGAGAAATGGACCTGAGGGTACCGATTGACAGCAGCTGAACATGAGCCAGGGGTGCCCAGGTGGCCAAGAGTGCCAGTGGATCCCGGCCTGGATCAGGAGCAGTGTGGCCAGCAAGACCAGGGAGTGATTCTACCCCTGGACTGGGCACTGCTGAGGCCAACCCTGGAGTGTCGTGCCCAGTTCTGGGCCACTCAGTTCAGGAAGGACATTGAGGTGCTGGAGCGGGTCCAGAGAAGAGCAACGAGGCTGGTGAAGGGACTTGAACACAAGTTCCGTGAGGAGTGGCTGAGGGAGCTGGGGTTGTTTAGTCTGGAGAAGAGGAGGCTCAGGGGAGACTCATCACTTTCCATAACCCCCTGAAAGGAGGTTGTAACCAGATGAGGGTCAGTCTCTTCTCCCAGGCGACCAGCAGTAGGACAAGAGGACACAACTGCAGCGGGGAGGTTTAGGTTGGACATTGGGAAAAAACTCATTACAGAAGGAGTGGTCAGACATTGAAATGGGCTGCCCAGAGAGGTGGTAGAGCCACCGTCCCTGAAGGTGTTCAAGAAGGGACTGATGTGACACTT